ATTTTTATATTTTAAAAAAATAGATTAGATATGAATTTATAAAATTTAAGCAGGCAAATTTGCCTGCTAAAACTGGATGGTTTAAGGGATACTGGACGACTTTAATAACACCAGAATGGATAACTCCAATGATGAGACTTTAAAGTAAAAGACTGAAAGTATTAATACTCAAAGATAAATAAAAAACTATATATTTTAAAACAAAATTGAAATGTAAAGGACTAAAAAAAACTACATAATGACAATGAACTGAACAACTCCAATAACAAAGCACTGGAAAGAATGACTCCGATGATGAGTTCTAACAAAGAAAAAAAACTAAAAGACAAAATATTAATACTCTAATAAAAAACTCAATTAAAAAAAACTTTAAATGAATGAAAATGAGTAAAAAGGTGAAAAACCACATAATGGCAAAAAAACACCATACTGAATGACTCTAACAACACTAGGATGGACAACTCCAATGACAAAACCTCAAAGTAAAAGACTGAAAGTATTAGTTCTCAAAGAAAAAAAAAAAGAAACTATGTACTTTGAAACAAAATCAAAACATGAAGGACCAAAAAAACTACACAATGACAATGAACTGAATGACTCTAACACAAAGCACTAGAATGGATGACTCCAATGACAAGTTCTGACAAAGAAAAAGAAACTAAAAGACAAAATATTAATACTCTAATAAAAAAAACTCAATAAAAAAAAAACTTTAAACAAATGAAAACAGGCAAAAAGCTAAAAACTACACGATAGCAAAGAAATACTATACTGGATAACTCTAATAACACTGGAATAGGTGACTCTAATGACGAGACCTCAAAGTAAAAAACTGAAAGTATTAATACTTAAAAAAAAAAAGAAACTATGTACTTGAAACAAAATTGAAATGTAGAGAACTGAAAAAACTACATGACAACAATAAAGAAACACCAACTGAACGACTTCAACAACAAAGCACCAGAATGAATGACTCCAATGATGAGCTCTGACAAAGAAAAAGAAACTAAAAACTAAAAATAATAATACTCTAACAAAAAATTCAATCAAAAAAAAAGCAGAAAAAAATTAATTGATAGTTTGTGAATAAATGAGAATAGCAATAGAGGAGATTTTATAATAAATATGATAATATAAAAATCACCTTTTCTATATAAATATATGTAATTTTAAAATTAAATTGCTTGTAACTTTTGATATACTAAACCAATTTTACTGATCTTACTACCATTAGAATCACAAATACTAGCTCTACAACCTTTGTTAGAAGCTTATAAAAGGTTTGCTTAATAAAAAACCAACTTTATATTGTAGAAAAGGATGATTTTTGTATTATAATATATATATATTGTTATTATAAGAATTTATTATTAGTATTCTCATTTATTCGCGGACTACCAATTAAGTATATATTAGGTGTACTTAAAAAATATTTATAAGATCTCATGTAACTGGTAATATAGTTATGCTTAAGTTAGATTTATATCAGCAGTAATTTTACAATTTTTCATATTATACAAACAAAGATCAATCAGAATATATGTAATTAAAATCAGGTGGCTAATATAAATAAAAAATTATGCATATTTCTTGTTAAATTCAAAAAATATGATATTTTCAAACTACTCTTGCTAGCAAATTATTGAAAAAAATTTAGAAGGCCTTTCAACTCGAAAAATTGCAAAACATTTAGATGTTAGCAGGTCTTCTATAAGTTGGGTTTTCAAAGATATAGTTGTATTGAAAAACTTCAATTACTTTCAGGAAAACCACATTATTTATATATAAATAATATAAATTATCTTCAAGTTTTAATGAAAGAAAAACCTAACTAGTAAATCCGAGATAGAACTTTGGTTGGGACATAACATTAGTTTTACAACAATTTGAAAAGCTATATACTGACTTGGATATATGCACAAAAAGGTAATATTTCATATATTTTTATTTTAAAACTTTTAGCAATCTTATAAAAGGCTCTTTTGTATTAATAGCTTCTGATTTAGACTCTTTCATGTTAATAATATCCAATTTAGAATCTTTTTCACTATTAATTTCTAATCAGTTGTATTTACTTCAGACAAGTCAAATAACTCAAAAGTATTTGTCAAAGATTTTTTAATTGTTGGATCTACTATTTCGCTTTAATTGTGTTGATCATAATTTTTATTGCATTTTCAACAAATATTAATTAAGCCTTGGTCTTTTGGAATTTCAACTTTAGTTAAATTTTTAGTCCAATCTTGATTGTATTTAACTTTTTAATATTAGCACTTATTTGTGTGATATATTTACAATAAAAGCTAATTTGATATCCAGAACCTTTTTTATATTTCTTGTCAAGTTAGAACAATCTTTTCCATAAACTTTCGTACAAGTTAAACATGCTAAACATATTGGGCAAGCATTCAAATAAAATTTTAATAATATTGACATTATAATAATAAAATTATTTGTACATAAAAAAAGTATTATATTTATTATGATAATTTTTGAAATTGAAAATGTAATTTAGACATATATAGATATTATATCAATATTATAGTAAATAAAAATTGAACGAATTCAAAATATATTTAATTTATAACAAAGATATTATATCAATGTTATAGTAAATTAAAATTGAATGAATTCAAAAATATATTTTTTATATACTGATTATAGTGAAAAAATTACTAGCTAAAAATTTTTTTTGGCTAATGTTCCAGGAATAATGAAATATTTTTCAGGTTATATTAATGTTAAGTTAAATCCATAACCATATTGGGTATTCAATATGACTATAATTTGAAATTAAAAAACTGATAATATATCGAAACCTGATTTGTCTCTGGTTTTTATCCAGTTATACAGTACCTGATATAGCTTATACAGACCTGATATAGCTTCATTCGACTTGTGAATTTGGGAACAAATAGGGTTAACCAGTAGCTTTATAGAAATGGCTGATAATTTTAATATATTTAACTAGTTTGTCCTTATTGTCTGTATATTTATCAGATAAAATTTAGGGACAATTTGGGTTAACTGGTAGCTATATAGGGTCAACTGATTTATTACCATATATTCTCCAATAATATTAAGATTATTGGTATACTTTTAGTTAAATTCCATATTTATATCAGGTACCTGATATGTATCTGATTTAAAAATAAAAAACCAGAGACATATTGAAACCTGATATGTCTCCAGTTTTTATCTAGCTACACAGTTCTAAATTTAACTTCATTCGACCTTTGAAACAATATTGTAATTAATTTTTTGCAATTATTTTTACAGAAGCTCTATTATTGTACTTAATTTTTTTGCATAAATAGAGTTTTTTTGTCTATTATTACAAATATTACTATATATTTGTTTTTATAGCTTGTATGTTACACTTTTTTTGTATGCACTTAAATCAGATTTTTTGCAATTTTATATAATGCTCTAACATTTCAATAGTACAAAGATAAAGTATATAAATATAAACACACTTGTAAAATATTTTAATATCAAATTAAAATACTAAATTAGTATTAATTAAACACTAAAATAAATATAAAATTACTTCAAATTGACTGTGTTTAGAAAAATAGCATTCAAAATTTGTAGATAAAAAACTTCATTTATTAAATCTATAAGT